TGGTTCTCCTTCCTGGAAGTAGCTTTTGTTCATTATTGTTGTTCTTTGTTATTGTCCATTATTCTCCATAGACCTTGGCTCCCTCTCCGGGAAGTTCTTCCTTTTCCATTATCCTCGCCCCCATCTAAAAAGGGCTTTGGGGAGTATGCCCTCCTTGTGCAGCTTTCTTACCACTTGCTATCTGTGCACAGCTGGGGCTTCCTATTTTAAATCTTGAGTAGTTGCTGTCTCTTGTAGTTCAGGTAGTACAATGGTCTCAAAGCCTTCTTACCTGTGTGATTCCAGTCAGCCTCACGTGGCGATAGCCACACCCCCAGTTCTTTTCCAGACATACTTATATTTACTACGTGTATCTTCTTTCTCAGCCCCAGCACTCCTATCCCGTCTCAATTCAAGTCCTCTGAGCCTGTAAGGCTTCAAGGAGAGAAGCACATCTTTAGTCTCCCTAGCTCCACCTATTTTGCTCATTGAAGATATTTGTGAGCATAAGGACATTAATTGGGTATTTTCTCGAAGAGACTTTCAACTGTTGAGAGGTTTTTAGGATGTGTGTGTCAGCCATAACCTTGATTTGATCCTTGCTGCAAGACCAAGTTTAATTCAGACTTTTTTTTCCCTCCAAGGCTCTCTCAATTTATCTTGGTAGGGAATGGAAAGTGGTACATGAGGCCAGCAGCTTCCCCCAGCGCCCCCTTGGCTGGTCTTGTAGAGAGTGCCTCCGGCTCCTGCAGCATTTGCCCCTCCTGCTGTGCATGGTGGCCAGAAGCGCCCAGGGGCCAACAGCTCTCCCGGCCTCCCACAGCAGTTACTAAGCATGTTGCTCCCAGTGAGACGCCTACCAGTGAAGAGCTTTGCCCAGTATCCCAGGGGTGGGTTTCCAGCAGCTTCTGCAGGTGCAGTGGCACACTTCTCTGCCATCCTGCGGCTGAGGCCTCACCACCAAGATTGGGATCTCAGCACTGGCTGGGGGGTGCTCTTCCTTTGGACACTATCTGAGCCCTAGAGATGGTGACTGCTCCTTCTATCTATTATTTCTGTATTTTTTAGGGTTCTCTTTACATCTTACCAGCCAATCCCTTGTTATCTGTTTTTTTTTTTTTTTTTTTTTTTTTAAGATTTTATTTATTTATTTGACAGAGAGAGAGACAGCGAGAGCAGGAACACAAGCAGGGGGAGTGGGAGAGGGAGAAGCAGGCTTCCTGCAGAGTAGGGAGCCCAATGCGGGGGCTCAATCCCAGGATCCCGGGATCATGACCCGAGCCGAAGGCAGACACTCAACCGACTGAGCCACCCAGGCGCCCCCAATCCCTTGTTATTTGAATCCTGTTACAGGTAAAAATTCTTCTATTAATAGGGGTGCCTGCCTGGCTGAGTTGGAAGAACATGTGACTCTTGATCTCGGGGTCATGAGTTCGAGCCCTATGGTGGGTGCAGAGATTACTAAAAGAAAATAAACTTAAAAAAAATTCTTATATGAATAACTTTCCCCGTGTGGTTTCTGTCTCCTGGTTGGACCTTGATTGATACATATCTTAAGTGAAACAAAACCAAGCAAGATGCAAAACATTATATATAGTAGTATGCTGTTTAAGATAAAAGAAGAAAGAATATGTAACAATAACATATAACATATGTATACGTGTGTGTGTGTGTGTGTAAGAACCTGGAATAAACAAGAAATTAATGAAAATGATTATATGGTAGGTGGCAATGGAATGGAGGAGATACAGTTTGACATTTAAACCTTGGAAATATTTGTTTAAAAACAAATTAGAAAAAATATATGAGGAATTCAAATACTGATTCAATGTTTATATTGGATTACTTTAATAAGTGTTGTTAGTAGGGATAATCCTATTGTGGTCATGTTTTTAAAAAGAATCCTTAACTTTTAGATATAGATATTGAAGTATTATGAATGTAATGATCTGGTTTCTGTGATTTACTTAAAAAATAATTGAAGAGTGAATGGATACTGGGAATGAATATAAAGAAACAAGATTGGCCTTGAATTGCTGATTGTTGAAGTAGGAAGCAGGTACATGGTTGGGAATTCATTATAGTATTCCCTCTATTTATGTGTATGTTTGAAAATTTCCATTACTTAAAGTAAAAAGTAAATTAAATAAAAAAGAAAAAAACAAAACCCTAAAATTAAATGCCAACAGAAGAAAATGAACCAAACTGCATATTAAATCAATAATAAACATGTAAAGAAATGAAGCAATTGAAATAATTTTGAACATGGTACAGAAAGTATACAATACTGGTGCTGAAACTCCTCTCCCAGCTCCTGTCCCCCATCAAAGAAACTCCGAAGTGTACTTAAGACAACAAGAAGTGAGGGACACCTGGATGGCTCGGTCAGCTGAGCGTCTGCCTTAGGCTCGGGTCATGATCCCAGGACCCTGGGATCGAGTCTCACATCGGGCTCCTTTCTCAGCGGGGAGCCTGCTTCTCCTTCTGTCTGCCTCTCCCTCTGCTTGTGCTGTCTCTCTGTCTCTTTCTCTCTCTGTGTGACAAATAAATAATTTTTAAAAAGACAACAAGAAGTGGGTAGAGGGCTGTTGCAAGTGAAGGGCAACTGAGTGGGTCAAGGTGGCAAGAAGTGTCCAGTGGTCTGCTCTAGCTCACTGGAAATTAGTTATTTTTAGTTTGCAAAGGAGATTATCAAAAGAATGGGGCACCTGGATGGCTCAGTCGGGTAAGCATTCAACTCTTGATTCCCTCTCAAGTCATGATCTCAGGGTTGTGAGATCAGCCCTGCATCAGGCTCTGCACTGGGCATGGAGCCTGCTTAAGATTCTTCCTCTCCCTCTGCCCCTCCCCTCCAAATAAAAAAATAAAAACAAAAGATTAAAGTGCTTCTGGAAAAATCATAATGGAAATTATTCTTCACAGGTGAGTTTAACCCATTTGCAGTTAATGTTATTATTGATAGCCTATTATTTATTTATGCCTTTTTTGTTTTTTTTTTAAGATTTTATTATTTATTTGACAGAGATAGAGAGAGCACAAGCAGGCAGAGAGGCAGGCAGAGGGAGAGGGAGAAGCAGACTCCCCGCTGAGCAGGGAGCCTGATGTGGGACTTGATCCCAGAACGCTGGGATCATGACCTGAGCTGAAGGCAGCCGCTTAACCAACTGAGCCACCCAGGCGCCCTTGTTTACTTTCTATTTACCTTTTTTCTGCACCTTTCATCTTTCCTGATCACTGTTGGATTTATTAAGTTTTCATTATTCCTCTCTTTAGATACATTCTGTTTCTGTGCTTTCTAGTTTCCCTTAAAGCTTTTCACATCTTAGAAGGCCTAAATGTTCTGTTTCTAGAACATGAGGACTCCTAAACTCAGACTTCCCTTTTCCACTTTTTTTCTTCTTTTCATTACATTTTTTGTATTTAATTCTTAAAAATTAGCATATATGATATAATCAGAAAAATGAAGTTTCACTGGGGGAAAAATACCAATCCACCATCCATGTATAAATAAAAGAGAAAGAAGGCATTTTTGAATGATCTTTTTATAGAGTGAAAAAAGAAAATATCAAGGTATGACAAACTCTTAGAGGTGGGAAAAATCAAGGGATTTCTCACCAAAATGCTCTGTTTCAGCCACAGAGCACAATAGACTAGGGAGTTCTGGGAATCCAAGATGTTTGGATGGATCCAAACATAGTTTTGTTTTTCTTCTTGCCAAAATCTTGTACAGCCCAAGACAATGAGGTCAGCGACAAAAGCTCTCTAGGAGGGAGTTTATATTTGCCCAGTACTAGAGATAATTTTATCTTCTATTTGTATTCCTACTTCCACTTAAAGGAGGGAGCAAAATAATTCATGAAATCCAGATTACATGCTCCCTGATCTATTACAATCAAAACACCCCTGCTCTTTCAAGGGGTCTCGCTCATGCTGGCAACAGTAGGGCCCCCCACTCCCTCTCTTCCTGTAGACTTAAGTAGTTTGGCATTTCTCAGATGAGAGGCACGGGTTTGGGAAAGGGAGATAGGATGGGATGGCAGAACTAAGTAGGATGAAGTGGGGATTTCATGTAGGAAATGAGAAAACAGTTGAGCTGAGAAAAAGGCAAGTCCTGTGACTATAAATACCTAAAGAATTTCCTGCATGGCTGTCAAACTGATTCTGAGGACAATTCCAAAAGAAAGAGGTTCCGGAAATTTGGGGAACTCCAAGAGTGAAACCAGCATGTAGCCTCCTGAAATACTTGGGTATTGTTGAAGAAAGAAGCTATTCAAGGACACTTATTAAAGATGGCAAGGCTGATTTTATTCAGATAGGTATAAGGACCACTGTAATGGGATTTTAGTCAGGTAGAGAGATTGGGCTCAACTGTGAATACAGCATGGGTAAGTGGGAATTTATAGCAAAGGAGGGGGAGGAGAGGGGTGGTGGTCAATGGATGGAAAATTACTAAGAGAAAACATCAGAGGTAAGGAGGGTTCTGGCTAAATTGGCCTAAAAGGAGTCCTTTCCTTTTTTTAAGTTTGTTTGTTTGAGAGAGAACATGCACATGGGAGGGAGGGAGGGAGAGAGAGAAAGAGAGAGCACGCGAGCATGAGCAGGGAGCGGGGCATAGGGAGAGGGAGAAGCAGACGCCCCGCTGAGCAGGGAGCCCCACACAGGGCTCAATCCCAGGACCCTGAGATCATGGCCTGAGCCGAAGGCAGCCCCTTGACCTAACAGGAATCTTGCTGAAGAAAGGCCAGGGTGATCAGACCTCACCTGATGGACTGTAGAGGGTGAGGAACCAGATCACATATCAAGAGTAGGGAGTTCTGGGCACCTGGGTGGCTCAGATGGTTAAGCGTCTGCCTTCGGCTCAGGTCATGATCTCAGGGTCCTGGGATCGAGTCCCGCATCGGGCTCCCTGCTCCTTGGGAGCCTGCTTCTCCCTCTGCCTCTCTCTCTCTCTGTCTCTCATGAATAAATAAATAAAAATCTTTAAAAAAAAAAAAAAGAGTAGGGAGTTCTGGTTAAACTGATTTAGTGAGATTCTTGCTAAAACTAGATTTTACAAGGAAGTGCACAGAAGGCCTAGGAGAAGGTTTGGGAGCCTGACTAAAGTTTGGTCAAGCAAAGAATTTTTGTCAGTAGACAAGATTTAATTTAGTTCCTTAAGTTCTAGCATGCTTGTTCAAAAAGGTACTATCATTCATTTACAGTCATTACACAACATTACTCTTCAAAAAATGACTAATGGAAGAAAAACAATGCAACAGAGTTGTAACTCAGCTTAAACTTGAAAAGGCTTGATATCCAAATTTAGGTTCAGGTTGTTTTGTCACCACTCAAGAAGGCATAAAGGTTTTTGACATTAGCAAGGAACACTGTGGACAGCAATAAAAACTCTAGCCTAAATAATGGGTGGTTTGTCCTTTTAAGGGAACAGGTGTAACTGATATAATATCACATTCCAGATTCAAGTTGCTAAGCAGAAAAACTTGCTCTTTTCAACTTGATTAATGCTGCCTATGCTATCACAAGGACAGTTCTAGGCACCCCTAGGTGCTAAACCTGTATTGATTTCTTAAAACAAATACAGACCCAAAAACTCACTCCCCAAAAGTTGCCAAGTATGACACCCTACTTATTAAAATCAAATACAGATGGTACCTGTGATAGACACTACTTGAGCTACACTCACATCTTATGTAGATACATCAATGAAAAAACAGGAGTATTTGAAGTGCAAATGTTTTATTTACAAGCTTATTTAAATACTTATTCTCCTCAACTGAATACTTACTGTAATACGGAATACAACGGCTCTTCCCTCTCAAATGGTGCCTTAAATTGGTTGTTTTGCTGTTTACATACATAGGAAAACATCTTTATAACAAGTTTTATAACTCAAGAGGAGACAGATCAGTAACACTGCCTTGCCCATTAAAAGTGCCAGCAAATAGGTAAAAATATTACTGAAATTCATATTTCATATTAGACCACATTTTTTCCCACTTGTATGTTAGGATTCGAAGAAAAAATGATATGTACTTCACTTTAATTGATATAATTTAATGTAATACATAAACATTTTATACTCACACTTGTATAATTCTACATTATAAAAACAAAAATCAGAGATAATAAGTGTTTTCACTGATTCCTTGATTAATTTATGCTCACTTTCTAAGCTCTATGCTCTATTACTTATAAATCAATGTTTTCTGTGAACTTTTTCTGTAAAAACTTTATTATCACTTCCAGAACATGATTGGCATTGATTCTTTTTTATGGGAATCTACTCTTGCAAATTCATTTAAATTTCTCATTTAGATTTCTCACCATGAATTCTGTTTTAATAAGATTTATCTAGTATTTAAGGCTTTGTCATATTCAACATGAATATTATGTATGAATTTTCTGATGTACGATAAGATTTGACTTCTGGGAAAATGCTTTCCCACATCTATTACATTCATAGGGCTTCTCTCCTGTATGAGTTATCTGATGTCTAAGCAGATGTGACTTCTTGATGAAGGCTTTGCCACATTCGATACACCCATACGGTTTCTCTCCTGTATGAATTCTTTGATGTGTAACAAGCACAGACGTGTTACCAAAGGCTTTGCCACATACAATACATCGGTACGGTTTCTCTCCTGTATGAAATCTAGAATGTTTATAAAGGGATGAGCTGTACCTGAAGGTTTTCCCACATTCCTTACATTCAAACGAGTTCTCAAGTGTATGCGATTTCACATGTTGGGTAAAGGAGGAGTTCCAAGTGAATGACTTCCCGCACTGATGGCATTCATATGGTTTCTCTCCCGTGTGGAGTCTCTGGTGGACCACCAGTTGTGCTTTATGCATAAACGCTTTCCCACAATCATTGCACACAAAGGGTCTCTCTCCATTATGGATTTTCTGATGAGTTGCAAGGTGAGCCTTCCTGCTATAGGCTTTCCCACAGTCATTGCATTCAAAGGGTTTTTTTCTTGTATGATTTTTTTCATGTCTAATGAAATGAAACTTCTTTTTGAAGGCTTTCCCACATTCAGTGCATTCATATGAGTTTTCTTCCATATAACATCTATTATAATTAAGTAAATCTAAAGTAGGTTGCAAGCTCTTCCCATATGATTTACATTTATATGATTTTTTTCTTGTAGGATTAAGACTTGTGCTCATGTTATAACCATGGAGTCTCTCCACAGTCAGCATTTTATTGAACGTGAACAAAACTGAATTCAAAAAATTGTCTTTGCTTTCCTGGTACTTCTCTGATTCATCAACAAGTAGGCAATCAGCTTCTAAAAAGGAGTACAATAAAACATGGCTCTGTTAATTTTTTCCATACCAGTTATAGAAAGAAACATTATTTCAAATCTAGTATCTAATTCTGAAACAAATCCTGTATTTGCTTCCCTCCTGAGCTTTAAGAATACAACTGCTGAAGAGGAAATGGGAGCAGATGCATGACAATAATGAGAATAGATGGTTTAACTTGTGACCTATGGGAAGATTGTGAAATAGGCACAAGTTACAGTGAATAGGGTACAAACATCGAGGCCTGGTTATCTCACATGAAGAGAGCCCACTGAGGAGATCTGACCAATGGATGAGGTGACCCAAAGAACAAGATAGTAGGAGCTAAGGGAAGATACCAGAGGAAAAACTAGATCTGGAGGTGGCAGATCTAGAATCCTCACTACTCCAGTCCTAGATTACCCTGATGGGAGGGCTCCCCATTTCCCTCATTCACATCTCTTTTTCCTCTTAATCACCTGGCACAATGGCAGTTACCTTCAGGAACATTCTTATATTTCCAGTCCTCTAACTCCATCCGTATCACAAGTGAGACAGGCCTACAGACAGGGCTCTAACTCTGCAACAGCTGGGATTCATTCTCCCACGTACTTGTAAGTCCAGGCACAGATTCTGCCTGCTTGCTATTGCTTTTATTCTGGCTGCGTTTCTTTCTTTTTTGGAGCGGGGGGGTTCTATATATGACCATTTGTCATATTTGTATTTGACAAGTACTGTTTTTACATTTTCTTTCAAACTACCTAACAAACTAGTCCCCAGAAAGCTGCTGAAGTCACTTTTCTTTGTCCTGAAGTCACATTTTTTTCATTCCTAACCTCAAAACCCTAAAAATCTCCAATCCATTTCTCCATTAAAAAGGGGGGACACCTAGCTGGCTCAGTGAGAGGAGCATGAGGCTCTTGATCTCAAGGTCATTAGTTCAAGCCCCACACTGGGTGCAGAGATTGCTTAAATAAATAAACTTAAAAAAAAAAAACAAAACAAAAACTAGGGAGAAGGGGTTATATTCCCCACTCCTGAGTTTCCCTCCTTGTGGAATGTTAGTACCACACCCCAACTTCTTGCTTCATGCCTCATTCTTCTCTGTGCAGCTGCCCCGAGTAGCGGGCTATAGCCATTAGTGCACATTTCTTTATGGGGAGTGGGGTTCCTGTCTTCTTTCCTCTCTACTTCAACTAATGGGAAGCAGCATCCTGTGTTACCTCAACTAGCAGTAACCAACTGAAAAATCCAAGGCACTCAGCCTGGTGAACAAAACTATACATTATAATGAATTCACTCATGGTATCTAAGTACACATTCTTCTCGTCCTGAACAAATACTTTCTGTTCCAAGAATTCTAGACTCTAAATAACTACAATATTTTGCTCATGTCTCTTCCCCACCTTAACATGCCCTACCTCACTCCCTCTCATCCTATCTGGTCCTTAGATATTCTTTAGGGAGGAGCCATTGTTCCATGATCTCAAAAAAAGACTCCTCTAATCTTTGTATACTTTAAACTTTAAGCTCCATTTTCTCTGAATTCCCAAGACAGTCACCACTGCTCCCCAAAACCATTCATTCTGACAATTAACTAGAACAAAAATGGCAATGTTATTGTGCATTGAACAAATATTCCACAATCCTAAAACTTTAAAATATTTTATATGGCTGTTTTTCCTTTCAACTACAACTTACACACCTGGAAAATGGTAATGGGCTGTTTTTTGTTTTGGGATTGTGGTGGTTGTTGTTTTTTGTTTTTTGGGGTTTTTTTTTTGCTTTCTTTGAATCCTTCTCAGGAAACATAAAAAAGCCTCATTGAAAGAATAAGAAACACCCCACAATGCCTGACTTCACAATAGTGAATTAATGAAATGTTCATTAAATATCTGTTGTGTGCTCAGAAATAGTGTAAAAACAAACAATGGTACAGGGCTTTCTCTTCAGGGCATTATCACAAGAAAACATGCCTTATAAGCCACAGGATTAAAAAAAAAATCTAAGAGAATATATGTCAAGTTTTCATGATAGAGTCATAGGAGGGCTAGGATGGAGGTTCCAAGAAGGTAGAGATTAATCTAGGCTGGAGTTACCATGAAAGAGGAGAAGACTGAATTCAGACTTACTAGCATGCTGGGCTTCGTTAGGTAGAGCACATCAGCATCAAAAGAGCCGATGCACAGAAGAAAATCATGTACAAAGTTCGCTAAAGAGCCCAACTGCCATGGCATAAGGAAAAGATGGACCATTCCGGGCAAACAAAATGGGATCACATTAAAGAGGGCCTTAAAAGCCTTTTAAATATCACAAGTTATGAAGAAATAATTTGCGTTTGTCAGCAGAGTGACAAGGAATATGTAATGATTTGGATACATCTTGCAGGAACATCTAAGATAAACCAGAAAATAGGATGAAATTGGCAATATAGACTCATGAACAGCCTAGACACCCTATCGGGAGTTAAAATTCACTTGGTTTAGGTCATTAGAAGTTGGGGTCCCAGGGGATCTAAAATACACTTAATTTGTGTCTTAATCATTTGAAACATATGTCTTTTATAGGCTCTGTGGAAAAAGAAAATTTTATTTTAAATCAGTCTTGGATAAACTAATAGTTAAATCATAGGTAATAAGTCATAAAAGTATTTAAGGAGACACTCTTGAGAGAAAAAAGCTAAATTGCTTACCATAGTGATCTGGAGACTGCAAAGTAGCAGGCCAGCCATTATCTTTTATTATAATGTAAACAGAAAGGTGAAGGTTGAAGAATATTAAATAATGGTTACTATGAAAAAACTGAGATGAAGGCCAGGTCCCCAGCTGGAGAATGGGAATGGGAAGTTGGAGATGCACAGATGCCACAGAGAGCACAAAGAAAATCCCATTAGTTCTTCAGAGGGATGCAGTTTCTGAGGGAGTTACTGTGAGAGGAGTTCTGAAGGTGGACACAAAGGCATGAAGCAACGGTGGGGAAGCCGTAAGTGAAGGTGAGGGCAGATTCGTGAGGAACCAACTCACATGATGTTGGGAATTTCCAAATAATATCAGTATTACCAAGTGAAGCAGAGAGATGCACTATAAGGTAGATACCCCAAGTCAGCAGTGAGACTAAAGATGAGCAAGATGGGGTACACAGGTGGGGTATATGCTACAAGAAAAGGAAGAGGTTTTTTTTTGAAAAGGGGAAATAATTAGAAAGCATAATGTTACTAAAAGTTTTGAAATAAAAACAACCAACATACTGAACACGTACTATATGGCAACTATTTGAAGGGTTTTACATGTATTAACTCATGTGATCTTTCAAAGAAACCTGAAGTAAGGATTAATATTATCCCTCTTTTATAAATAAAGTTGTGCTACAAAATAATTAGGTTAGACAGTGATTGGTGGAGTAAGACTCCAAATCCACACAATCTGACTACCTTACGAGAACCAGATGTATGGAAAAGATCTGTGCTCATGTTGAGGAAAAAAAGAAGAATGAAGATTTTAGGAATTAAGAGAACAAAGCAAGGACCTCCATGGAACAGGCAGTGCAGGGAGCCAGGGCAGAGAGGAGAAGGCCCTCCCTCCACACAAAAGCTGAGCAAAGAGAAAGAGTAGCTATGCGAGCAGAGTGAGTGAAGGTGTCATCTGGGGATCTGACGATGTTATGTCAAGTGGACCCAGTCACTTCCAAAGCTGTGTGGCTTTTAAGAAGGGCTTCCTGAAAGAGCTGCTTCAGAGGGACCTGTCCCTTACTGACCGACTGGAATCTCAATTCCAAAGACTCCCATCTGCCTGGTTTTCTTTCACTCACCTGGATGGCGCCAACGTGGGTTCTCCCCCTCCCCCATCCATGGCTCTTGTCCTTGCTCTGCCTTGAAGATCGCTTTTGTTTGGGTAACTGGGCCCCCTGTTCATGGGAAACAACACAGAACTGGAGACCAAGTGCTAGAGACAAACGACTACCTCACAATTCAGGTCTGTCTCCTTGAGTCTCAGGGCCTGGAAAGGATGACAAACAGGCTTTAGAACAGAAAAGACCCTTCTCCTCCATTTGGGAGGCAGAAGCATAAACCCTCTATCTGTTTATGCGTCATCTCAAAGGGGATTAAGAATCTGTGACCACTAACATTCAGGGCCAAACTCAGGAATGCTTCAGAATGTCCACAGCTTCCAACAAGTCCTAAAGGCAGGGTGCTAGGAGTATATTCTTAGTTCCCCTGAAGAGTTACCACCCACTGTCCTTACCCACTGAGATGAGGTTTCTAAAGTTCTCCAACATCACATCCCAATACAAGGTTCTCTGCTCACAGTCAAGCAGCTGCCACTCCTCTGGGGTGAAGTCCACAGCCACATCCGGGAATGTCACTGATCCCTGTAACAGCACATTCATCTTCAAACTAAAGTGTGCATCATTTGGGGACTTGCAAGAGAATCATGGCAGCCTCTTATGATTGTATCATATTCATTGTTGAGTTTTCAGAAAGTTATATATTATAACTACTATATGCTTGACTCAGAAATATATTTTGTGATCGGGCGCCTGGGTGGCTCAGTTGGTTAAGCGACTGCCTTCGGCTTAGGTCATGATCCTGGAGTCCTGGGATCGAGTCCCGCATCGGGCTCCCTGCTCGGCGGGGAGTCTGCTTCTCCCTCAGACCCTCCCTCCTCTCATGTGCTCTCTTTCTCATTCTCTCTCTCTCAAATAAAAAAAAAAAAAATCTTAAAAAAAAAGAAATAAATTTGTGATAGAAATAAAAATCACATTAAAAATATTCACTAGTGTCAGGACAGTTCAATCGGGTAAAGCATAGTCTTTTAACAAATGGTGTTGGGATAGCTAAATATCCACATGCAAAAGAATGAAGCTGGACCCCCTTCACACACATAAACACCTCATATCATATGCGAAAATGAACTAAAAAGGGATCAGAGACCTAAATGCAAGAGCTAAAACTATAAAATTCTTAGAATACATACATAGGAGTAAATCTTTCTGACCTTGGATTGGGCAATGGTTTCTTAGATACGACAGGAAGTGTAAGTGACCAAAGAAAAAAATAGATAAAACGGAAATTATCAAAATTTAAACTTTGTGCTTCAAAGGACAACATCAAGAAAGTGAAAAGACAACCCACAGAATAGGATAAAATATATGCAAATCATATACCTTGATAAGAGACTTGTACCTAGAATATGAAAAGAACTCTTACAACACAACAATAAAAAGATAACCCAACTTAAAAATGGGCAAAGGATTTGAACAGATTTTCTCCAAAGACACACGTGGTCCATAAGCACATGAAAAGATGCTCAACATCATTAGTAAACACAAATCAAAAGCAAATGAGATACCACTGCAGACTCATTAGGATGGTTAAAATCAAAGACAGACAATGACAAGCAGTGACAAGGATGTGGAAAAACTGGAACTCTCATATATTACTAGAGGGGTTGTAAAATGGTGCAACAACTATGGAAAACAGTTTTACAGTTCCTTGAAATGTAAAACATTGAGTTACCATATGACCCAGCAATTCCTCCTAAGTATGCCCACATAAAAACTATACACAAATGTTCACTGAGAAGTATTCATCCAAAAGTAAAAACAATATGAGTATCCATCAGCTGATGAATAGATGGATAAACAAAATGAGGTATATCCATATAATGCAATATTATTTGGCATACATGTAACATTAATGACCCTTGAAAATACTGTGCTAGGTGAAAGAAGCTAGTCAAAAAAAAATCACATACTGTATTGTCCTAGTTACATTAAATGTTCAGAAAAGGCAAATCCATAGAAACAGAAAACAAATTAGGGCTGGGAGATGGGAGGAACAGGGAATGACTGCTAATATAGGGTTTCTTTTGAGGTAATGAAGATATTCTAAAGTTAGATAATGGAGATGGTTTTAGTGAATAGACTAAAAACCACTGAATTGTATATACTTTAAATGGGTCAATCTGTAATATTTGAATTATGTCTCAATAAAATTATTTAAAATATTGCTTATATGTCCTTCATTCATTCACTCAAAGAATGTTTAATAAGGACCTACCAGACACTGTACTAGTGATACAAAAAAGAATAAAGGTATTACTGGTCTCAGAGATCTTACAATCTATTAGACACAACAAAGTAAATATATAAATTAGAAGGGCTATAAGGTTAACATGTCAGACTCACATGACCATAATAAAATAGAAAATAAGGACTCTTTTTTACATGATAAAATATATCCTCTCAACCATAAGGCCAAAATCATGTTTAACTTATGCTGAAATTAAAAAGGCATGTAGCTACATGTCTATCACAAAGAGATAGTTAAGACCATAAAGAACAGGGCTCAGCAAACTACAACCTATACACTGGCCTGCTGTTTTTGTAAATAAAATGTTACTGGAACATTTACACCCATTCATTTACTTCAGCTGCAAAGTCAGAGGTGAGTAGTTGCCACAGAGGCCATGTGGACTTCAAACCTAAAATATTTACTATATGGCCCTTTAAAAAGTTAGGAGACTAGCTAGGGTTTGTCCCATGAAGGCATAGATAGTTCAGTATTAAGAAATGTATTAGAAATTATCTAAATTGCTGTATTAAAGGAGACAAAATATATTATTTTATCAACAGGTATTTTAAAAAACATATAAGGAAAAAAGTTTCCAATTTATGAAAACAATCTTAAGCTAAAAATCTTTAACTTAATTAAAAACAACAAAAAACAAAAAACCCCAAATATCTACCAAAATACAAAAGGAAACAATGAAACACTGGAACCATTCCCATTAAAACTGGAACAAAAAAGATACTGGCTAGTAATTACATTGAAAATTATAGTTTCCAGAAGTCCTGTCCATTGCAATACGACAAGAAAAAAAAATGAAGACATACATATTGAGCAGTAAGGAACAAACTCCATTTGAAGAGTATATGACTGTCTACCTAGAAAATCTAAGAACCAACTAAAAAATTCTTGGACTTAATAAGAGTCCTGTAAGTTGACATAAAGTCAAATAGATAAACACATATTTTCCTATACACCAAAATAGCTGATTAGAAAATATAATGAAAAAAGATCCATTCATTCTCAACAGCAACCTAAACCATAAGTAAGAATAAACATTACAAGAAATGTACAAGAATTATAATAATAAACCTATAAAAATATAAATAAGGACCTATAAGAAAAATTGAATGGAGAATACATTATCAAAAAGTTATGAATTCTCTACAAATCAACGTAAAAGTATACTGAAATCACAATAAAACACCTAATATATTCCTTTATAGAGCCTGACATACTGATTTTAAAATTCACATGGAAGAGAAAATGCTCAAGAATACCAGAAGACTCTGGAAAAAGGTACAAGGTTTACTTATGGTTCCAGAAGAATATTAGAAAGGCTATGTAACTGAACTTACAAATTGAGTTCATATAGTGCTGCTTATTGGCACTATGTTCTCTGCTTACTCTGGGAAACACTCTAAGAAAGTCACAGGAAATGTGATGTTATATTTATCACTGGTTTGTTGCTGTGAATGTTATTTCTAACATTATCTCTATAAAAACCCATTATAAGATTTTTTTTTCAGAGAACTAAATCAGGAATATCTTTACTTATCTGAGGAATTATTTAGCTTCAATCCTTACAGATAATACCAATACTTTAACTGGTTGGCTATCCAGTTTCTATGATTGAATAAAGACTGGGTATACACATGCAGCTCAAATTTATTCCAACTATGTGCAGACCCTGTGACCTGGATATCAACTTACCAATTTTCTAGATTTTCTTTTGGACTTGATCTATTCAATCCATGTTTTCCCTGTTTATACATTTCCTTTTTATATGGATTTTTGAGAGATTTAAATGACTGAATAAATGGATACCTTACCTGCAAGTTGATCATTTTCTGCAGCTCTTACACAGAGACCTATGAATATAAAAATGGGAAAAAAGAATAGAAAGGCATGAAAAACTAGAAAGCAATGTAGAAAAGAAAAGAAGCACTATCAGAAAAGAAGGACCCGGGCGCCTGGGTGGCTCAGATGGTTAAGCGTCTGCCGTCGGCTCAGGTCATGATCCCAGGGTCCTGGGATTGAGTCCCACATCGGGCTCCCCGCTGTGCGGGGAGCCTGCTTCTCCCTCTGACTCTCTCTCATGAATAAATAAATAAAATCTTAAAAAAAAAAAAAAAAGAAAAGAAGGACCCATACTGCAGCTTCAGTAAATGTCACCTAGTGGGAGAATTATGATTCTAGGAGATGTCAGAAAAGTCCATATTTTATAAGCACCAAACTCTACTGGTGGTTTTGTTATGAATATATGAAGGTTAGATAAGTATGTTGTACATTTCTGTCCTGCTGATCTATCAGCAAGTTGTTAATCTTTGAACCAGTGACATTTTTTCCTCCCAAAATTTATCCTAAGAAAATAATAATAAATGAATCAAAAGACTAACTAAAAGCCTGGTTTCTGAAACTCAGTATCTCTGGAAGTCTCTGCTCTGAAGCTGGGATAAAAGAGCTCAAATTAGGTTGGGTTTTCTTGAGAAGGCTGGACCCAGGAATTTTTCTTTTTTTTTTTTTTTTAAGCTGAAGCACCTTCAGTTTAAACTCTAAATCAAACTCCCTCTCTCTTTCTCTGGAAATTCACCATCTCCTATGAGCCTAGTATCAGTTTTTAAAAATTCCAACCAGCAAAGCTGGGGCCATAAAAAGGCTAAAATACGCAAAAGGGACTCACAGCTTTATTTACACAGCCTTCCCTGGAAAATCTGCAGATTCAACAGAGACCCTTTAAAAAAAAGAAGACTACAAATCGAAACTTACTTAGAATTCATTGCTCAAATATTTCAAAAGGAGAATAAATCCAACTTTTGTTTTCTTTGCAGGATGCTATCTTGCAAAAAAAGAATAAACTTTGGAGCACAGCATAAGGAATATAGTCAATGATACTGTAATAGTCATTTAAGGGGTAGAGACGGTAACTACACTTGTGGTGAACATAGCGTAATGTGTAAACTTGTCAAATCACTAAGTTGTACATCTGAAACTAATATAACATTGTGTGTCAACTATAACCAAAAGAAGAAAAGGAGGAGGAAGAGGAGAAAGAGAAGGAAGATAATTTGTAGAAAACTCATCTGGGTTTCAATCTCAGCTCTTCCACTTTCTAAGCTGTCAGTCTAAAGCAAATAACCTCTCTCAGCTTCAGTTCATATGCAAAATGGAGAGAACACTTACTTCAGATTATTGTGAAAATACACTAAGAAGAGAACACAGTAGTTTCTCTAGAAATGCTTTCTTCCTAGATCCCTTTGAATGGTTTAATATTACCTTTTGCAGGCTCTGGTAGGGCCAATGATGTTCTTGTAACCAGGAAAGGTGCAGCTTGATGCACATACTCCTACACAGTGATCTCTACCTACAAGAGCAGGAATATGCAAACTGAGCCTGCCCCAGCCCCACCCGGAGTCTGGGAACCCACTGAGTGGTAGTCAGCCCCTGCTCTTGCTCTCTCTGAACTACTCCAGAATTGGACAGGTCTCACACACCCAAACACGAAATCACCGCACGTGGGGGTTGTGAAGTTTTATCTTCGGTAAGCCAATAAACTGGTCCCTGTCTTTCTCCTCGCCCGTCCCTTACGTCCCCAGGCTCCGCAGAGTCATACCTGCCTTTCACCGCCACGCTCCCAGCGATGCCTCTAAAACATCAGGTTACAGAGCTCTCCTAGAGACTCGGGGCGAAACCCGCGTTCCCACTTCGCTCTGCACAGGTTGGAAGATTACGGAATACCGGTTGCCGCCCCATTGCGCGTGTGCGGAAGTAACTGACGTCCAGGTTCCCAGGTCCCTCCGCGGTGCAGCCTATTCATAGGGGACTACATTTCCCATAAGGCCTGTGGAGCTCGTTTCCGGAAGGCGTCAGAAGCGTCGGCCTTTTTGGGGCAGGTTTCTGGGTAGTATCTCTGGGGCTTCCCTGAGAGCTGCGCTCTTTTGTAAAAAGGAGGAGTATATATCATTTTCGTTAAAAAAAATATAAAGACATCAGAATTTTTAAGAACTGGAAAATCTAAATCAGCGGTGTAAAATAATAATCTACCCTTAGTTCAGTTTCTTCTGGCAATGCCCCAGCTTAGGTCCCAACGAAGGAGATGAAGAGGACTCAAGAAAAAAGACTAAGAGATAATTTGTGAGACAGACTTAAAAGTAGGAGAGTTTGGATCTACAAAATCGAAGGAAGAAAATGTTTCAAGACGCGGAGACCGATCCACTGTGTTAAATGCTAGTGATAAGTAGGGTGGTAACTAAGAATTGACCATTGGATTTAGCATGGTGGAAGCTGTTAAAACATGCCGTTTTGGTGTAGTGGTAGAAGTTTGATTAAATCTGATAAGAACTTGATAAGAGTGGGATCAAAGAATGGGAAGAGAGGAAGTGTAGAAAGCAAGTATAGACAGTACTTTATTTTTTATTTATTTTATTTTTTAATTCTTATGTTAATCCCCATACATTACATCATTAGTTTTAGATGTAGTGTTCCATGATTCATTGTTTGTGCATAACACCCAGTGCTCCATGCAGAATGTGCCCTCCTCAATACCCACCACCAGGCTAACCCATCCTCCCACCCACCTCCCCTCTAGAACCCTCAGTTTGTTTTTCAGAGTCTATCGTCTCTCATGGTTCGTCTACCCCTCCGATTCCCCCCCTTCATTCTTCCCCTCCCGCTACCTTCTTCTTCTTCTTCTTCTTTTTTTTTTCTTAACATATATTGCATTATTTGTTTCAGAGGTACAGATCTGAGATACAACAGTCTTGCACAATTCACAGCGCTTACCAGAGCACATACCCTCCCCAGTGTCTATCACCCAGTCCCCCCATCCCTCCCACCCTACCCCTCACTCCAGCAACCCTCAGTTTGTTTCCTGCAATTAGGAATTCCTCATATCAGTGAGATCATATGATACATGTATAGACAGTACTTTTAAGAAGTTTGTTTGGGGGGAGCACCTTGGTGGCTCAGTCGTTAAGCGTCTGCCTTCCGCTCAGGTCCTGATCCCAGGGTGCTGGGATCGAGTCCCATATCGGGCTCCCTGCTCCTCTGGAAGCCTGCCTCTCCCTCTCTTGCTGTCTCTCTCTCTGTAATAATAATAATAAAAATATTATATAATATAATAATAATATTATAATAAATATAAAAATAAAAAATTATATAATTTTTATAATAATAAAATATAAAAATACAAAATAAATATAATAATAAAAATATTATAATATTTTTATAAATAAAAATATTTTTTTAAATAAAAATATATTTTTTTAAAGTTTGACTTTTTTAAAGGTGAGTAGAAAAAGAAAGCTGCCATTGCATATGGATTTGGGGTCCAGAATTTTTTTTTAAGTTGGAAGAAATCATAGTATGTATGCTAATTAAAATGATACAGTAGAGGGGGAAATTGACAATATAGGAGACATGGGACAGTTGCAGAAAGAAAGTCCTTGAGAAAAGGGATGGAATCCAGTACACATCAGAAGGATCAGTTGTGAGTATGGAACATTCATCTATTGAAATAAAAAGGGAGGCAGAATTTATAGGTACAGATGCAGATAGGCACACAGATTTGGTGGTGGGAGAATGAGTATGTCCTTTTCTGAGTGCTTCTGTTTTCTCAGTGAAATAGGAAGCTGAAAATGAAGATAGGGAGAAGGTATTGGAGGTCTGAGGAGAGAAAAGAAATACTATATTACATTGATTCTAATACACTTTTCATAAACTGGTAATGTAGAGAATAAAGTGTTTCTCCAAGTTCTGTGAGCTGCCTAGAAAATTGGTCAAACCCAAGGAGGGACTGTTGGAACCTCCAATCTATAGCCAGTAGGTCAAAAGCACAGGTGACAGCATGGACATGTGACTGGCATCTGAAGTTGGGGGAGAGGGCCAGCCTTGTAGGACTGAGCTCTTAACCTGTGGGATCTGACACTATCACCAGGTGGTGTCAGAGAATTGTTTGGTTGTGGGGAAAAACCCATACATTGGAATTGATATTGGTAGAATTTTCGTTTTGTTCATGACTATATCTCCAGAACCTGGCACATAATAGGTGCTAAATAAATACTGGCAATACTGAATAAATGTGTAATTGTCTATAGTTTTATCTCCATAAATGCATCATGGAATTTGTGTTTCCCAGATATGGGAAAATATGAGTCTGTTTCTGTTCTGCTTTATTTGTTCATTTGTTTTGTTTTTCAGATCCCACATGTAAGTGAAATCATATGGTATTTGTCTTTCTCTGACTGATTTCACTTAGCATAATACTGTCTAGGTCCATTCATGTTGTCAAAAATGGCAAGATTTCATTCTTTTTTATGACTAATATTTCATATTCCGTTTTGTGTGTGTATGTTTGTATGTGTGCGCACACACACACATTTTCTTTATCCATTCATCTGTTGGGAACTTAGGTTGCTTCCATATCTTGACTATTGTAAATAATGCTGCATTGAATATAGGGGTGCATATGTTTCTTCAAATTGGTGTTTGTGTTTTGGTTTTCGGTTTTCATTTTGTATAAATACCCAGATGTGGTATTGCTGGATCACATGGTAGTTCTATTCTTAATTTTTGAGGAATCTCCATTCTGTTTTCCATTGTGGCTGCACCACTTTACATTCCCACCAACGGTGTTTAAAAGTTCCCTTTTCTCATGGAACAAATAATCCTAAAATTTGTATGGAACCAGAAAAGACCCTGAATAGCCAGAGGAATGTTGAAAAAGAAAAACAAAGCTGGTGGCATCACAATTCTGGACTTCAAGCTCTATTACAAAGCTGTAATCATCAAGACAGTATGGTACTGGCACAAAAACAGACACATAGATCAATGGAACAGAATAGAGAACTCAGAAATGGACTCCCAACTCTATGGTCAATTAATCTTCGACAAAGCAGGAAAGAATATCCAATGGAAAAAAGACAGTCTCTTCAACAAATGGTGTTGGGAAAATTGGACAGCCACATGCAGAAGAATGAAAACTGGACCATTTCCTTACACAACACAAAAAAATAGACTCAAAATGGATGAAAGACCTAAATGTGAGACAAGAATCTAGCAACCTCTTCGACCTCAGCCGCAGCAACTTCTACCTAGACACATTGCCAAAGGCAAGGGAAGCAAGGGCAAAAATGAACTATTGGGACTTCATCAAGATAAAAAGCTTTTGCACAGCAAAGGAAACAATCAACAAAACCAAAAGACAACTGACAGAATGGGAGAAGATATTTGCAAATGACATATCAGATAAAGGGCTGGTATCCAAAATCTATAAAGAACTTATCAAACTCAACACACAAAGAACAAATGATCCAATCAAGAAATGGGCAGAAGACATGAACAGACTTTTCTGCAAAGAAGACATCCAAATGGCCAACAGACATATGAAAAAGTGCTCAACATCACTTGGCATCAGGGAAATCCAAATCAAAACCTCAATGAGATACCACCTCACACCAGTCAGAATGGCTAAAATTAACAAGTCAGGAAATGACAGATGTTGGTGAGGATGTGGAGAAAGGGGGTCCCTCCTACACTGTTGGTGGGAATGCAAGCTGGTGCAGCCACTCTGGAAAACAATATGGAGGTTCCTCAAAAAGTTGAAAATAGAGCTACCCTATGACCCAGCAATTGCACTCCTGGGTACTTATCCCAAAGATACAAATGTAGTAATCTGAAGGGGCACCTGCACCCCAATGTTGATAGCAGCAATGTCCACAATAGCCAAACTATGGAAAGAGCCCAGATGTCTATAGACAGATGAATGGATAAAGAAGAGGTGGCATATATATACAATGGAATATTATGCAGCCATCAAAAAATGAAATCTTGCCATTTCCAATGACGTGGATGGAACTAGAGGGTATTATGCTAAGTGAAACAAATCAGAGAAAGACAATTATCATATGATCTCACTGATATGTGGAATTTGAGAAATACGGCAGAGGATCATAGGGGAAGAGAGGAAAAAAATGAAACAAGATGAAACCAGAGAGGGAGACGAACCATCAGAGACTCTTAATTTCAGGAAACAAACTGAGGATTGCTGGAGTGGTGGGGGGTGGGAGGGATGGGGTGGCTGGGTGATGGACATTGGGGAGGGCATGTGCTATGGTGAGCGCTGTGAATTGTGTAAGACTGATGAATCACAGACCTGTACCCTGAAACAAATAATACATTATATGTTAAGAAAAAAAAAAAAAAAAAAGAAGATAGTAGGAAGGGAAAAATGAAGGGGGGGAAATTGGAGGGGGAGCTGAACCATGAGAGACTATGGACTCTGAGAAACAAACTGAGGGTTTTTGGGGGGGTGATGGGTATTATGGAGGGCACGTATTGCATGGAGCACTGGGTGTTATATGCAAACAATGAATCATGGAACATTACATCAAAAACTAATAATGTAATGTGTGGTGACTAACATAACATAACATAATAAAATTAAAAAAAAATAAAGCTTCTAGTATAACTAAGATGATGCCAACAGAACTCTGAGCAAGTTGTTTTCTTGAAGACTGTTAATACTGTTTATCCTATAAAGTCCAGTTTACGTACTATGCCCCCAGTTTGATTCCAAACTTCCTAGGGCCTAGAATAAGATGCAGTGTAGGAGGCTTAACAACAGCAAGAAATATCTTAGAGCATAATGGTGAAGAGCATAAGCACTGCAGGAGGCTGGAGTCTCACACTTTCAAACTGTAGGATCTCAGGCAAGTTATAGAAGGCTTCTAAGCCTCAATTCCCTCATCAGGGATAATAATGGATATACAGATTTAATCATAAAAGTTCTTAGCACAATGCCTGGCACATAACACTCATTCAGTAAATGAGAAAGAGTTATTATCACAAGATTCCCATTGTCCATAAGAAAAGTTTATGTGTAGCTCAGAACACCTCCAGAGGTAATTTACCATAACTCCAAAAATGTCCAGGTTTTACCAGTTCATGTAGAACATAGAGTCACATTAACAATATTCACCATGTTCTGCTGGTTCTTGGCCTTCTAGTTCATATGGAAACCCCACCCCTGCCAACTCTTCTCTCCCCTCCATCTACTTATGCAAATTCTCCAGTAGTGTCTGCATAAACAAGCCTTTTCCTTCCAGGTGATATCCGTATCATTCTTTCCTCTGACCTCTTTGGTGATGTTTACAGTTAAGGGCTCCACCGCCTCCTAAAATGCACTGAGATTCCTCTCCACTATCTTCACGTTTTCCTTAAAATGTTTTTAATTTTGGGCGCCTGGGTGGCTCAGTCAGTTAAGCGACTGCCTTCGGCTCAGGTCATGATCCCGGCGTCCTGGGATCGAGCCCCACAAGGGGCTCCCTGCTCAGCGGGGAGTCTGCTTCTCCCTCTGACTCTACCCCCTCTTGTGCTTGCTCTCAAATAAATAAAATCTTTAAAAAAAAGTTTTTAATTTTGTTGGTTCTCCCTTTAGAAAAAGGGCACTGTACCGTATGTAACCTTTGGGGACTTATCCTTTCATTTAATATTGTGCTAAGATTCACCCATGTTGCACGTCATTGTGGCTCATTTATTTTGGCTGCTATACATTACCCACACTCTCCTGATGATGGGCACCTGGATACTTTCTAGGTTTAGGTTTTGCTGTTGTGAAAGTACTACAAAGTATACTCTTCTTCATATGTGTAAGAGCTTCCCTTGGCCTACCCCTAGGAGTGGTATTGTAAGGTGTAAATGTTACATGTTACTTCATGTATTATATTTTTTATATCTAATGTTTTCATTTTTTATGATCTCCTACTCCTGCTTCATTTTCCCTTATTTCTTTGAGCATATTTATTATGCTTATTTTAAATTCTTGGTGTGCTCATTCCACTAATTCTGCTTCAGAAATATGTTTATGTTATGTACTTAAAGGCTTGGAACACCATACAACTATTTATAGTGGTCATCTTTGAAGGATTGAGATTATGGGGGGGAAAAAAATCAGTTCAACTGACCTGGACAGCATTTCATTTTATTTTATTATGTAAAATGTAGAAAGCCTTGACTAATAAAAAATAGGGAAGAGACTTAATAGAAACTTCAGAATCTTCTTAGGAAAGCAATGATTGCTGAAGGATACCTTTTGCTCAAGCCATGATGAGCAACTGTCTTCTTGGCAATTCACAGCAAAGTTCCAGAGACCATATAATCCCAGATTCCTCCCACTCACCCTTGAACCTTGGTCATAATTTAACTGGTTAGAATTTGAGGAAATATGAAAAGAACCAAAATAAGAACACTCTCCACGAAAGCCAAGCTCAACGACTGGTCCTCTTTTATTCTGCTGATGTAAGCTGAAGTTCCTGAAGAAGGCATACACTTCTACTCATTTCATTTTTTTGGCTTGGGGCTCTAGAATGGAGCTGGGCATCCCACCACCCTTCCTCCACTCACAGATATCTGCATAGTTGCATGTCCGGCACTTCCAAGCCTCCTCCACATCAACCCCTTGAGGCTCTCGGTGGCCCATCCAGTAGGCCATATAGTGCTGCACTTTGCCTTTCACCTCACTCTCTTCGAAGGCCACAATCTCTGTACCCAGCACAGTGGCAGTCTCTTGGTGGATGTACTCAATCTTCAGGATATCAATAACTGGGAGGTCAGACAGTGTTAGAGACAAGAAGACTAGCTCCATGAGGTCACCCAAGGACTTCACAGAGAAGCCTCCCTGCCGGGCATGCCTCAGCACTGAAGGTCCCAGCAGCTTGTCTGGACATAATTTTGTGTGGTGGATTAGGCTGGCACTGGTCACTTTCCCTTGAACCATGGCATCAAAGATGTATTTGTACAGGTTGACTTGAAAACAGTCTTTTTTTTTCTGGGCTTCCAGAGGGAGCATAGGGCGCCTGCGTGTCTTAAGTTCAGCCAGTTCCAGTTCCCCCTTGGCTGTATAGTGCAGCTCATCAATTACTCCAACGAGCAGCACACCCTCCACTTCTCCAAACACTGGAAACTCTCTGATGCGTCCTTCTGACTGCAAGATAGGAATCATTGATAATATATTCAGAAACTTAACTGCCCAAGCATCTTCTTTAGTACTGATGGGGATAGTCACAAGATCATGAACTTCTAGTTCTCTAGCTAGGTGGATGCTGGCACCAGAGTCCAAAACAGCTGCCTTCTCAGGAGCCAAGAAACCAGGAAGCTCCTTCTCATATACCATTTGCTGTTCACACCAATCCTGAGTACACAGGTCAGTGACATACAAATATTTAAGGTGGAATCGCTCAATAGGTGATGAGACATCCAATCGTCTTTTCCACTTTGGTAAGCTGAGCTTGCCATCCTTCCCAGGGAGTTCAGAAGAAGGGCCAGGCTTGCTAAGTGAAGCACTTGACTCTTGAGTATCTTCCAGGTCCAGATACTCTAGAAACTCTGAGTCACTCAAGTCTGAGAACCCTGAGGCCTCTGCTGACACCTCTTCCCCAGTCTCTGCCATGGCACAAAGCCCTGCATATCCTGTTAAAGAAATGTATTATCCAAATAAAAAATTTCTCCAAAGCACTGTCAAATTTTAATAAGGTTAAAAGAATCATGACTATTTACATTCTTTAAAGTAGCCTAGGGCGCCTGGGTGGCTCAGTTGGTTAAGCGACTGCCTTCGGCTCAGGTCATGATCCTGGAGTCCCAGGATCGAGTCCCGCATCGGGCTCCCTGCTCGGCAGGGAGCCTGCTTCTCCCTCTGACCCTTCCCCCTCTCATGTGCTCTCTGTCTCTCACATTCTCTCTGTCTCAAATAAATAAATAAAATCTTAAAAAAAAAAAAAGTAGCCTATTTTTTTAATTTAAATTCAATTAGCCAACATACAGTACATCATTAGTTCCAGATGTAGTGTTAAATAATAGAAGCCTATCTATTTATGACCAATTAGTAATGTAACAGATTTGCCTTGGCCTCAATCTCTTCATTTAAAAGGAGATTGAGGTCAGGGGCGCCTGGGTGGCTCAGTCAGTTAAGCATCTGCCTTCGGCTCAGGTCATGATCCCAGGGTCCTAGGATTGAGCCCCACATCAGGCTCCCTGCTCAGCAGGAAGCCTGTTGCTCCCTCTCCCACTCTCCCTGCTTGTGTTCCCTCTCTTGCTCTCTCTCTGTCAAATAAATAAATAAAATCTTTAAAAAATAATAATAAAATAAAAGGAGATTGAGGTTTGCCTTTTCTGCTTCAAAATTCTCCTGACTTGGGGGCACCTGGGTGGCTCAGTTGGTTAAGCGACTGCCTTCGGCTCGGGTCATGATCCTGGAGTCCTGGGATTGAGTCCCACATTGGGCTCCTTGCTCAGCGAGGAGTCTGCTTCTCCCTCTGACCCTCCCCCCCTCATGCTCTCTCTCTCTCTCTCTCATTCTCTCTCTCAAATAAATAAATAAAATCTTAAAAAAAAAAAGTTCTCCTGACTTGGGACATTATTTCATTATTTTAAGTGAGTACAGATCTTTGTAAATGTTGGGGCAATGTTGGTAAAACCATGTCCACTTCTACAATTCCTTCGATACAAAGTCCTTGACTAGGAAAATAAAATTACAAACTGTTCCTTGAGAAAAATCAGCTTCATAATGACTGTTTTTAAATGTAGCTCTCAGGAACACAGTATGGCAAAATTCAAAGACTAACTATAAATAAATACAAATAGATCTGCTCACACACAAATTATTGGCATGAAGTAATGAGAGAGGATGTTCACAGCAACATGTGGAAATCAGTTGCTTTTTATATTTGAGATATATCAAGGAAATGGCAAAGAGGAAAAGCTCTTGGTGGGTTCTATTTTACCCATACGGGACTTTACAAATTACCCTCCTAACATTACAGAAATTGGTGTTTCCCACTAAGTTTATTTTTTCCTTCCAGAAGAAATTAGCTTATGATGGAAAATCTCTGTCAATAAGCGTTATAAAATACCACTGTATTTGCTATAATAGTGAATATTTTATTGTGCAGTTATTGAGTGTCAGACACTGAGCCAAGTGCTTCACATCCAATACCTCACTACTCTACTGTGGACAGGTACTCTTTTTAAAACTTTTACTGCAAGAAATTTCACATATACAGAGAAATAGAACAATGAACACCTATATACATACAATGTAGATAAACAACTGTTGATATGTTGTTGTATTTGCATCTTTCATGTGTGCATTTTTTTTGGATTAGTTTGGCTATTTTAAAGTAAATTATAGATATCATAACATTTCAGGTATAAATGCTTCAGCATACATTTCTAGATAAGGACATTTTCCTACATTAACTACAATATTGTTACCACATCTAACAAAATTAATAATTCCCCAATACTACCATCCATACTCAAATTTCCCAACTGCCCTAAAATGTTTTGGATAGCTTTCTTTAAACCAGGAAACAAAGACCACACATTATGTTTGATTTGCTTTGTCTCTCAAACATTTTTAATCCTAAGAAACTAGGCAAATTATCCTGTAAAGATACTCTTCTTAAGCCTTCTTCCTAAACTCACATATCTAATCTAGCATAGAGACAAGACAAAACAAAACAAGGTTATGACCACTCCACCAGTATTTGACTTTGGGTGCCAGGAAAATAATCTGACACAGAATTTAAACTGATTGAGGTAACTTTGAGCCAAGTTTTCTCTTTGCTAATCTAATAAGCAATGAATAAATTGACTGCACCAACTCCCATATTAAAAGCTTAAGAATTGATACCTTGAAAATGGTATTAATATTAGTTATGGTTGTACCTAACTCATTTTTAAATACTCTAAGTGTCCCTAATGAAAGCAAACATAGATATAGCTGGAATAAAAGTTATTTGCAATGTAATACAATGTGAAGACTTCTGCTTATATCCTATAAAGTATAGGATAGTGGGAGTGGCACTAAATCCAAATCAATGGACCTTGAAAAAAATTTTTTTTTCCAAATATTTAGACCTGGGCTGTCCAATATGTAGCCATCAGCCACATGTGGCTATTTAAATTAACTAAAATCAAATAAAATTTAAAACTCAATTTCTCTGTTGCATTAGGCACATTTCAAGTGCTCAATAGCTACATGTGGCTAGTGGGTAGTACATCATAAGGCAAAGATACAGAACATTTCCCTGACCACAGAAAGTTCTATTGGACAGTACTGTTTTAGATTAATTCATGTGTGAGTATTAACTCCCAAAGAGAGAGTAAGTTCTTGAGGTATGGACTTTGTACTTGTTTTACATACTGAGAATAGGGTAGCCCTGAACAGGTTAAGTGAAATGTTTTGCAGAGAAGACACAAAAAGGGGGCATTCTCTGTGGAATTATTCATCTAAAAGAAGAAAACAATACACTGATGATGGACAATTTAGACTCAGATGTATTGCCTGGACTTTCCTATGCAGAAAAAATTCAGGCAAGAGCATGATGCAGTACATTGTGTCCCTAATGCAAGTTTGTATCTTTCTAACATGAGATGATTTTACGTGGCACAAAGGTCAACATTTTTAGATGTATCTCAGAATATAAAGCTATTAGAGTTTCCATCAAATGCATAATTTCATAGAGAGTGTTTCTTAGGACAAGTTTGGTTTTTAAATAAATGAAAGTAAAAAATTTAAAATATGACAATAACAATACAGGTAGTACATAGGAATGGCAACAATTATTAGGTGGTAAGTGAATGAAATAAAATATTCGGGAAATACCAGCAATACCAGTGTCAAGAGTCTGGGGTCCTATGGATCTAGATTCTAAACCTTATCCTGACTAGGTCAGTAGTATTTAGTAGGATGCTACTTGCCTCATGAGTATTCTTGGACAAGTTTTTCCTTTTCCTGAAGCTACTGACACTTTAGAGTACTCCTTCCAACCCTACTCAGCTACCCAAAATAATGATAAAACATTATATACATTCTAACATTCAACAAATGTGGATCTCCTTCCCCTTCCCAAGGAAGGGATGATAGTCTATCTATTCCCTCTGACAAATGAGATTAAACTTTAGGAGAGAGGAAACTTCTACTCCCCTGGGACTTGGCTGATCTTTCTCCTCACCAGGTAGTGCAGAATGCTAAAATGACACACGGCTAGGGGAGGAGAAAGGAGCTCTGAAAAACCAGGTCTGCACTGAGGAATCCAGATTAGCAACTCTGCGCCGTGCTGTGGCAAAACGGGGACTTTTGGTCCTTTCTCACCTGACCAGTCCCTCACATTGCAGCATATCATCCTCTCCGATCCCCTCGGCACAGGCTGTTGCCCATCCCAGATACTAGGTAACGCTTGCCCCTCTCCTGGATCAAATTCTCCATGACCTCTTCGTTTTCCCACAACCCGGATGTAGTTACTTAATCCAATCTCTGCTCCCTGCAAGCAAAAGAGTCAAAAATAACCAGAAGTCCCCCAGGAGTCCAAGATCAGTTCCCTCTTCCAGCCCCAAACCTCAGCCCAGGTGCTCAGCAGAGACTCGGGTGAGAGGCTTTTCTTTGATGGGATCCTGCTGCCTGTGGGGCTGCCACGACCTTCACCCTCAACATCCTGACTTGTTCGGAGCAGCCCAGACTTCTGGGCTCCGAGAGCGCTCGCCTTCAGCAGGGACCTTTCCAAGAGCCCCAAACAACTGTCGGCCCAGGAATTCCACGTCTGCCCTAAAGTTTACTGAGCACACCCCACCACGTCTTGGAGGAGCCGGAAATGACAGCAAGGGGTCGCCGGCCTCGGGAAGGGGTCCCAGTGGACCTCCGCAAAAAGTCCAGAAGCCACAGGAGCCTGGCCTGCGAGGGCAGACACGACGAGCCGCTGCCCGGGGACCGCTCCCATTCGGGGGCCGCGGGGACAGCGGGGACAGACCCCTGCGCTCCACACCACAGCCCCTCAGCTCCCCACACCCATTCGCCGGCCTTGCCCTAACCTTGGCTACTCCTTCGAGCCGCGGGCTCTTCCCGGCTCCGCCGCGGCCTCGGAAGCGCTGGCGGACGCTGCCCACGACCAGCAGGCGGAGCTTGGGCAGAGAGCAGCGGGGTTGGCACAGCCCCGGGTGGAAAGCACACCCAGAATGCTCAGCGGCCGCCCCAGACCCGCCCCCTCCCAGAGGCCTCAGCGGCGCCGCCTGGTCCTCGCGAGTCCCGGGCAGGAGCGGACTCCCTTTCGCGGCGGGGCGAGGCGGCCGCTAAGGTAGGGGTAGTGTTTGGGCAGGCCGTCCCCGCGCGCGCGGGCTGTGCGTGTGGCTTCATTCTGGACGGAACGGCGCTGTCGCCTGACCCGGAAGCTCTCACTGCGGCGGGGCTCCCGGCTAGCTGCAAGCCGGGGTCCGAGAGAGGTGTGGGCGCCGCCCTCTCCCGGCGGTGCACCGGCCCCTGTCCGTTCAGTGCTGCCGTCTTGGCTTTGTCTTTCTTGGATCCCGCACCACCTTGCTTCTCGCGCCGGCGTTCCCAGCTGAGAACAACCACGAACTCCCTTTGCAAAGATGCTGGCGCCCGTCTGTTAACCTTTATAAACACAGCTATATTCTGAAATAGGAAATAAAGGTAAATATTAAGTGTTGAAAAGATATGTCATCGTTAGATCAAAAACAGAAAAGCGAAAGTTCCTTTCCAAATACACTCCCATGCCCCCTTCTGGAGGAAACACACTAGCCTGACTTTTAGGACAGTCCCTTCCTTGCTTTTCTTTACAGTTTTATCACATATGGGAAATTTATTTTATTTTATTTATTTGTTTTTTAAAGATTTTATTTATTTGACAGAGAGAGACGCAGCGAAAGAGGGAACACAAGCAGGGGGAGCGGGAGAGGGAGAAGCAGGCTTCCCATGGAGCAGGGAGCCCGATGTGGGACTCGATCCCAGGACCCTGGGATCATGACCTGAGCCGAAGGCAGACGCTTAACAACTGAGCCACCCAGGCGCCCCGGGAAATTTATTTTACAATAAAGGGGGCATCACATAGCAACGGAGAAAAGATGGTCTTTTCGATGAAGGTTCTGTGACGATAGGGTATCCTTATGAAAAAAATATATGAAATGAGACCTCTTACCTTACTTCCTCACAAAAATCAATTCCAGGAGTATTAAAGTCCTAAATGTGAAAAGCTAAACTAGAAAGCTTTTAGAATATAATACAGTAAACTTTTGTTTGGACTTCAAAATAGGCAAAGATTTCTTAAAATACAGAATACTAGAAAGGACAGTTGGGGAAATTAAATGTGACTTGTATATTAGATAATAGTATCTATCAATTGTAAGTACCCTGGATGTGATAATGATTTTGTGGTTGTGTAGGAAAACGTCCTTGATCTTAGAAATATGAAAGTTGAGGACAATCTTTTTAATCAAGTGAAATGAGTAGGCATTGCTGGGTTGAGGCTGGAGAAGGTTTCTTCCTCCTCCCCAGTATAATCTTCTGTAGCCAAAATGTAACTTCCAAAGCCAGGAAAGCCTCTCCTCAACCCTTTCACACATGGACCTGTCTTCAAATGAAGTTTGCAGTGTAGGGTATGCTGCTGGGGGGAGCGAAGCAGGAGAGATTCCCAAGACAGTAGGATCATGTTCCCCAAGGCTTTCATTCTCAACACTGTGGGACTCAAATTTTAGGAAGTGATGCCCTTTCCCCAAAAGGCTGTATCCTAAGAAGTGTGGGCATGTAAGGCCCATTCCTATACAAAACTCACTGATACAGTTCATCCATCTCCAGGGATATCTGTAACCATGGAAATACTGTTAGACTCAAATGATCTGCTTGCCTCTCTTTCCATCTTTCCTTCCTCTTTCAGAGCACGGGATTTGTACCTCTAACATTGCACTGATTATAGTCTATCATATAAGAGTCTATATGATAAAAGTGTTTCTCTGTATGATTACTCTCTAGAGCTGCACTGTCCAATAAAGTAACCACTAGCCACATGTGGTGCTCTTGAGCACTGGAAATGTGGCTAGTCCAAAAAGATCTACTCTAACTACAAAATACTAGATTTTGAAGACTTAGTACCAAAAAAAGAAGAATGAAAGTAACACATAATTTTTATATTGATTACATGTTGAAATTATAATATTTTGGATATATTGGGTCAAATGAATATATTTTAAAGTTAATTTTACTTATTTTTATTATATTAATGTAGCTGCCAGAAAATTTTAAATTACCTATGTGGTCACATTTGTGTTGTGGCTCACTTGTATTTCTCTTGGACAGTGCTGCTCTAGGGCATCAGAGCCTAAGGGCAGGGAATTTATTTTGCTCATTTGTGTTCACAGGTGCTAGAACAATTATTAACATAATTTTTATATGCTCAAGGGAAGCCCATTGGCAATATTCTGCATTTGAAAATCTTTTCTTCCACATATTAAGATCAGCCTCTCTTTAGCCAAACACCTATTTCTGGTAATTGAAAAGGGCATTGCTTGCTTGGAGAGAGCCAGAGAAAATGGCCCTGAGGGAGGGGGAAGTGAGCTAAGGATGTCAGACTGTGCTAAGGATGTAAGACTGAGGCATGGCTCTTCTAAAAACAGTCAGCTTCAGATGTAGGACATTTGAAGCTTTGAATCAATTAGGGTTTATTCATTTATAAGAGATTGGAAACCCAGGTTTCTACAGCTTCAGGTGAGGCTTGATCCAGGGATCAAATAGTGTGACCAGAATTGAGTTTTCTATCTCCATTTCTTGGATCTTCTGTGTTTGCTCCATTTCTAAGCAGCCTCCCCCCTTTTCCACTGCCAGTAGCTTCCAGGAATATAGCCTTCCAGATTTGTGTCTAGTGGCAAAAAAAAGGAAGTCTATTTCCCTGATACCTCAAAGACAAATCCAAAAATTGTCCCCTTAACCCTGATTAATCAAACTGGGGTTATAAGTTTGCCTTAGCCAGAGTCTTACAGAAAACAGAGCTTAGAGCAAAGATTAGATTTTTTTTTCTTTTTCTTTTTGGAAATGCAAACCTATAGTAGCAAGGATAAGAAAAGGAAGTAAAGCAAGCAACAACTTGAAGCAAATTGAAATCGTGCACTATTGTATGACTATTGCTTCATGTTAACCCCATGGTCTTACACACTGATTCCAGAGTGATATTATAAAATTAAAACCCCATGTTGTCAGTCTTTGATTTTAAAAATCTTGTACAATAAGGCCTATCTCGTTATTTAGTAAATTCAGCCAAAAATTCAAGTGTTCATCTGAGAAGGCATAAATTGCGTGTAGTATTCCCTGATGATGTGACACAAATTTAATCTGGGAGGATAAGTAGGAGCTAACTGAACAAAAAAATTAGGCAGAACAAAGAAAAATAGCACAGTTGAGGACCAGAAACCATGCAATATATTGAATGGAATATTTACAGGACTATAAGATCTTTATGACTGGAGCAAAGTCTGCTTGAGGGGAAATTTGGGAGCCACTGCCGGAAAAATAGGTAATGCTCTATGCCAAGTGTTCTGTATTAAGAAGAATACAGAAGATGAAGTTTATCTTCAAGTTATGAGAACCCATTGAGGGGTTTTAAGCAATGTGATTCAATTAGATTAATTTTGATTAGATATGTGTTTTGGAATGATCACTCTAGCAGCAGTGGGGAGGATAGAAAAATGAGTCCAAGTCTGGAGGGGAGGCAGAACTCTGAGCAGGTGATACATTATGGCTGACATGCAAAATCTGGTAGACTGGACAGGGCAGTGGGCCGCCTGGAGGCAGTATCCCATGCCTCTGACATGCACTGTGGGTCTAGAGACAGTGCTCCGAGAGCAGGAGCTGCTCCATATGTGCAAGTATTTGACTCGCTGCTTGCCGGTCCTGTGGCAGAGTACCTGAAGATCAGTAAAGAGATTGGGGGAGATGTGCAGAAACATGCGGAGATGGTCCACACAGGTCTGAAGTTGGAGCAACCTCTCTTGGTTACAGCTTCTCACTGCCAGGAACCAACAGGCTTAATAAGCTTTCTGATTTGTTGGCACCCATCTCAGAGCAGATCCAAGAAGTGGTAACCTTCAGGGAGAACCGAGGCAGCAAGTTGTTCAATCACCTGTCAGCTGTCAGCAAAAGTATCCAGGCCCTGGGTTGAGTGGCTGTGGCTCCCAAGAGCCTGGTCCCTATGTGAAAGGAATGAATGATGCTGCCATGTTTTATACAAACCTAGTCCTCTAGGCGTACAAAGATGTTGATGAGAAGCATGCAGACTGCAACAAAGCTTATTTGAGTATATGGACAGAGCTACAGGCTTACATTAAGTTCTGTCCCACTGGACTGGCCTGGACCAAAACAGGGCCTGTGGCAGAACTAAGTGGATTGCCATCTGGCCCTTCTGCTGAATCAGGTCCCCCACCACCTCAACAGACCCTCCCCATAAAAGTCCGCACCATTTAGGCTCAGATGAGTCTGCTTCCCACTCAGCACTGTTTGCACAGATTAATTGGGGGGAGAGCATCACACATGCCCTTAAACATGTATCTGATGACATGAAAACTCACAAGAACCCTGCCCTGAAGGCTCAGAGTGGTCCAGTATGAAGTGGCCCCAAACCATTCTCTGCACCTAAACCAGGAGTCAGTCCATCCCCCAAACCAACCACAGAGAAGGAGCCAGCTGTATTTGAACTGGGAGGGCAAGAAGTGGAGAGTGGAAAATCAGGAGAATGTTTCCAGCCTGGTGATTGATGACACAGAGCTGAAACTGGTGGCTTACATACACAAGTGTGTCAACACGACATTGCAAATCAAGGGCAAAATTAACTCCATTACAGTAGATAACTAAGAAACTTGGTCTGGTGTTTGATGACATGGTAGGCATTATGGAGATAATCAATAGTAGGGATGTCAAAGTTCAGGTAATGGGTAAAGTGCCAACCATTTTCATCGACAAAACAGATGGCTGCCACATTCCAAGCAAGAATTCCCTGGATTGCAAAATAGCTACTGCCAAACTTTCTTTTTTAAAAGATTTTATTTACTTATTTGAGAAAAAGAGAGAATGAGCAGTGGATTGGGGTAGTGGGGGAGGGAGAAGCAGACTCCCCGCTCAGCAGGGAACCTGACTCTGGGCTCAATCCCTGGACCCCTAGGATCATGACCTGAGCTAAAGGCA